TTGACATAAGAGCCAGATTATCATTGCTTGAGGAGAGAGGAAAGGTCTAGGATCCCATGAAACTCACATTTCCCCAAATGATGTTCGCCTTGATCCTACACAGTAGATGGCTATCTCTAGTTTCTGTGGTAGAAGAGAGATTCATGATTTCTATCACTATGTCAGCTGTTTCACAACCAAAGCTTTTAAACTTAACATGTAATATAACTTGATGTTGTAAATGTGACATGGTAATTGATTATGAATTGGTAGTAAACTATGATATTGTTAAAAACAACATTTAACAGAAAATGATGCATAAATTCAGGCTCTGTAATCTCTACTAGGAGAAAAGAAAAGTTAGACTACACCCTTAATTGTTGGAGTCTTTATTAATAGACTATATATAGATTTCACAAAATAATTTTCACTTACTTAAGAAAGGCAGTCCTGTGATTTTGTTTTTGCTCCCTTAAAATTATTTAAAGAAGGTGATTATGTCAGGTCCTAGCATTTTTGTTGTCTTAGAAATAACCAAGTCTTCATATTGTACAACTTTATTTTATATTCTGAGGATGTGATTATTTGCATATTCTGACAAGCATCATGAACATTTAAAGGCAGAAATCAGAATCTATCAAAGATGAATTGTTTTTATGATTCCTACTAGTAAAATGTCCAGCTCAAAATTCAGCCATTGTGTGTCCTTCAACTAGCCATGGAGAGACTGAGAGAAAGTCCAGGGGTTATGCAAGCCTTAGGACTGTTACCTAGGCAGCATTTTACATTATGTAACATCAATTCCCTTTTTATTTTTATTTTTAAAAAATATATTTTATTGATTTTTTACAGAGAGGAAGGGAGAAGGATAGAGAGTTAGAAACATTGATGAGAGAGAAACATCAATCAGCTGCCTCCTGAACACCCTCTACTGGGGATGTGCCCACAACCAAGGTACATGCCCTTGACCGGAATCAAACCTGGGACCCTTCATTACGCAGGCCGACACTCTATCCACTGAGCCAAACTGGTTAGGGCTGCTTCACTAATCTTTACACCAAAAGGCCCAATTTCCCTTTTAAAGAAAAACCCTCAAAAACGTGTATTTTTAAAATACTAGCCAAATTTTCTTCATATGTGGTGCAAGATTTGAAACTATAATTATTTCACTGCTTTATACTTTTACACTTTGGACTCATCATTAGAAATAGGGAAGTATTTATGCTACACATCTTTATGTACCAAACCTGATTCTGTCAATGTAAAATCATTGAATATTGCAACAATATGAGTCATTGTGTTATCAGTGGGGTGTCATCTGCGTCCCCACCTGTCACTGGTGTAAGTGGAGTTCTTGTGGTGTTGCAAGCAAAGGGATTTCCTGAGACTCTCACGGGAGGATGAGTGTTCTTTATTTCCCTGGAATTGAACCCCTGGTTTTCCAATGTCCTGTTTCCCTCCATCTGCTATGGGAAAAGTCCAGCTGGGTCTTCAGCAGGGCTAGAATGAAAGCCACTGCCCTGAGTTTCCCCTCCATATCAAAGCGCAGTCCAGTCCAACACCTGGCTGGCTTAGCTTGTGTCCCCAGTTGTAATTCATTGCATGTGAGGTCCACACAGCCATGGGCCTTGTGGCTGTTTAAGACTACATGGTGGGTGAGTGAAGGGCATGGAGCAAGACAGAGTAAGCGGGAATAAGCAAGCAAACACGAGATAAGTACTCTTTGTTTGAGGATTATATAACCAGGAACTTAACTAAACCTCCAAGATTTCACCTGCGTGCAGAACCTTGTGGCTTAGTGGTAGAGTGTCCACCAAAGAATTAGGAGGTCACAGTTTGATTCCCAGTCAGGGTATATGCCCAGGTTGCAGGCTTGATTCCCAGTAGGGAGGCATGTAGGAAGCAGCTGATCATTGAAGTTTCTATCTCTCTTTCTCCCTCTGCCTTCCTCTTTTTGAAATCAATTTAAATTTTTTTTTTTTTAATATTTGCCTGCTTACAATGGCTTCATCCCCCTAGCATGAAGCTGCCCACATGACCACGTTTATGTCTGCTCTCCCTTTTGCTCTCTTCCTATTACTAATATTAATAACTGATGATGACAATAACAATTGAACTAAGGAATCATATTTCTTTAAAAAGTTTTATATTTTTATAGCCAATAAGAATATTTTCAAGTGCTCATCTGTGTATTTTAAATAGATTTGATTGAGAAACTATATATACACTGAGTGGCCAGATTATTATGATATTTGAACTCATAATAATCTGGTCACTCAGCGAATATCCTATATAATAAAAGGCTAATATCCAAATTGTCCCCTTGACCAGTTCGACTAGCAGGCAGGCTGGCCAACAGCCCATGTCCCTTCCCCCTGGCCAGGATGGCTGGTCCCCATCCATGCTCGAATTCATGCACTGGGCCTCTATTATATATAGTGGCCAGATTATTATGTGGTCAGAGATCATAATAATCTGGCCACTCAGTGTAATTTCTCAAGAAAAAAACTCATTGATCTTAGCTGCCCAATTATTTAAAATTCTGTAGTTTCCACCACTGTGTGAGTTAGCGGCTATCTTGGTAAAATATACTGAACTTTTGTAAGAGTTAAAGGAAATTACACTTTTTTTTTTTTTTGTCAGATTTCAAATTTCTGGAAGTCTGACACAACTGAAATAGTAAGAAACTGGGTGGAGGGTACTCATTTGCTTAGCTGTGATTTATGGGCTCAAAGGACCTGAGTTTCCATCTGATTCAGAGAAGGAAACATGGGGGGAAGGGAGTAGGTGAAAAGGTGAGATCCAGGGGTGGAATCTGGGGTGGGGTTTCTGAACTCTCAGCTCTAGAGCTGTGAGAATCTCTCTGTGGTTTTAGCAGCTGTGCTCTGCATGGAAGCTCACAAGCTCTCCCCCCCGGCCCCCCCCCAAGGAAGGAATGAATGGAATGTGGATTCTCCACTTCACCTTGGGCTGTGAAAACACAAGGAGCTCTTTACCTACCTCAGTGCAAGGCATTTAGGACTCCTGGGGAGAGGGTCCAGGGTTTCCCCATAAATCAAAGTGAAGACTGCAATATTACAACACACTGATCACATTATCCTGGCATTATTTCAACATACATTTTAAAAATGAAACCAAGCAAGCAACACATTGAGGAATAGGGGAGGAGGTAAAAGAGTACACAATCTAAGAGCCCATCTATTAAGTTTGGCACGGGTCAGACCTTTGACTCAGATTATGGTGTTGCTCAAAACTGTGGTGTAATCTTTAAGGTCATAAATAACTGAAGCATGAGTAACATCTGCTTAATTATTTGGAATGAAAGAAACTTAAAAAAAATCATTATGAATCACAGGACTGCCATGGGCACTCACTAATATGAACTGCATAATTGGTGAGATAATTTTACCTCTCTGGGCTTCAGTTTCATTATCTGAAAAAAAAAAAAAAAAAAAAAGAAGAAGTTAGATCAGATATTTGAACATTTGAATTCTTATTTTTTCAAGTTCTTGATTAAAAATAATTTGTAACTGTTGTTCTATTTTAAATATTATAAACACCGATGATTCAAAAATGTCATTTTATTTTAGTTTTCTAAATAAAAATAATTTATGCTCTGCAAAAATATCCAAGAACTATTAAAAATTTAAGAAAACCTATAATCACATCACTCTGAGAAACCACAATAAACACTTTTGTGTTGATGAATTAAATAGAGAAGGGACCGGAAATCGGGATGGCAGGACACAGGCTTTATTAGAGGGAAGAGTACCCCTGCCAGCTGCTTCCAGAGAGAAAGGCAGAAGAGAGCTAGCACTGGGGTACAAGCACATTTAAGGATATGGGGATGGGGCTTAGGGCACTCAGCGCACACTGATTGGTGATTAGGGACCTAAGGATTTAGAAATGGGGGGCGGGGCTTAGGGTATTTGGCAGGTGCAGATTGGTGGTTCAGAGCTCAGGAATGTCTGGCCACAGGTGGGGTTTACGTCTGTCCATCAAGTCAGTCCATCAACTGGAGGAAGGGAGGATCTCTCAAGTCCCTATCCTCTTGGGGGGTCCTGGACTGTGAAAGGGCACAGGCCAGGCTGAGGGACACCCCCAGTTCTTGAATTTCATGCACCAGGCTTCTTGTGTAATAATAATTGTATATAAAAATAATAAATAGAAATTTCATTTACAGTGGGGTGTTGATGAGGGGGAAGGGTGCTAGGGGAGAGAATGCTCTTGCATTTATTACTCAACACTCACTCCTGATGCCAACAGGAAGAGATGTACCTTGCATCTGATAGGAAATGATACTACTTTTCAATCTCAACAGGAGGAAGAAAAGATTCTTTAGCCTAATATCAACTCAGCCAATGGAAGGCTGCCATAGCTCAGCAAACGAAAAGTCATTATGATACTGTTGTGATTAACTCAGTTATTTTTTTATATATTTTTTTAATTTTAGTACAAACATCCCAGCAACAGCACGTGGTGAGCCATTGCTGAGGGCATAGGTCTTTATTGGAGGTGTGGGCCGGACATGAGGAAGGTTCCCCCATTCCAGGAGGATGAGATCAGTCCTGGCTGACCCAATAGTGGGGCTATGTGGACTGGGGGTAAGGGTGGTGTCTCTGGCCAGGCTACAGTCCAAATAGCCTGGAAGACCAGTCAGTCACAAAGTCATGAGAACGCCACACAAGCCTGGATGGAGGCCCAGGAATCATATAGGAACCTGGGGCAGGTCCCCTGCACATTCATCGTTAAACTATACAGGATGAGGCTGTACATGAGTTAATTACAAAAGTCGTATTTACAAAAATCTGTACACACATTTGAAAAACTCACAAAATTGTCATCTATGTATCACAAGTTGCTAGACCAAAATATTAAAAATGGGATAAAATTATACATTTCTCTTCTCAATTCTTTTCAAAAGGTTAATATTTTTAAAGCACATATGCTACTTTCCTTAGCAAGACCCATGGAGAGGCTGAACAGCTCAGCCCTCCTTGAGTCCCCAGAAGCCTTGAGCCATGAATGCGCCCAGCCAGGGGACACTGCCCAGGGTTGGGGCAGGGGAGCCAGCCCACAGTGCAGAACAGAATGCTGAAACACAAGGAAGGAGGAAGATGTCTTTGGCTAAAACTTTGGCATTAAATAAAAGAGGCAAAAAGGATGGAAACATGCAGCCCTGCCAGCCAGGTTGGGGCATAGCGTCAAAGGCTGGCTCCAAGGATGGGAACCAGGCCTGGGCATGTACCTGGATGGAAGAAAGCTGTGTTTCAACCAGGTGGGTGTGCCTACTGGGCCTGGCAGAGATCACGTGCAAGAAAGGAACAAGGAAGGGCAGGTGGGCCACCTTGGCTACAGCCAGCTCATCAAGTAACTAAAGTGGATGTAGTGCAAAAGTTGCAACCAAGTCCTATGGATGTGCTACCTGCTCGCCTTAAGGGTCATGTAGCAATGTTGGGCCAAACACAGGGCCTTGTCCTCGTCCTGGGTGCCTGCATCCTCAGCCACAGAGTCACATGTATGGGATAGAGGAGACAGAACCCTGCCTCCATAAGTGTTAAAAGCTCCTGGGTTCAGGTATCAAGGCTCAGAGTTTGTGCTTCTCTTTGCAGTCCATGTCCCCTGTTGGCACCAGCAGGCTGAAGACGGACAGAAGAATATCTGGGTCTCTCCTCTCATGGCAGAGCACCCAGCCTGAGCCTCATCTCAGAACATCACAACAGCCCTTCAACACTGGCAAGGTGTCCAAGAAAACCCACAGGTGGCACATGAAGACCCGCTGAGGAGGATGTGACAGGCAGTTCGAGTCAGGTTAAGGATGAGGTCATGGCTTAGAGGAGACTGATCACTGTAGAGAACCTGGACATTTTTGATGATGCCACAGTGCTTCTGAAGAATGGCTACTGCCTGAGCCAGAGGCATTCCCAGCGTGAATTCCCATTGCTCGTTCCCCAGAGAGCGCTCAGGCACCACCTCCAGATCCAGCATTGGTTCGGCTCGCTGGGCTGGGGCGGCCTCCCTGCGGCAGCAGCGCAGACAGGACAGGAGCTCACTTCACCAGCAGCAGCCAAGGTAGTAGGGGCAGCGGCAACAGCGGCAGCGTCTGCCTAACTCAGTTATTAAATAACAGAAAGGGAACAAAGGGAAGGCCAAATATATTATTATTTGTGCAGCTTTGCCAGGAAGCTGCAGTTTAATACTCCCCAGGCCTATTCCCCTCAGATCACTGCGGGGAGAAACAGGATAGGGGAAGAATAAAGGGATGCCCAGGAAAGTCTGGGTGAAATAGTGAAACAGGAACTTTAGGGGAATATAGCAGGTTTAGGCAATTTTTTTTTTGAATTGGGGTCCATGGAAAAACACACTGCTACAGACTGGGAGAAGCTACATTTCCATAACACAAGGAAACCAAGTGCAGCTACATTTCCATAAGACAAGGAACTGGAAGTAGGAAAAAAAAAAAAAGGTCTATATTTACAAAATAAAGAAGGAGGAAAAAAGCCCAGAAGGAATGGAGGGACAATGAGGGAGGAGGGCCTCTGGAATCACTATAGTAACCAATTTGAAAGGGAATATTTTTTTTTAAGGGAGAAATAAGTTCTGTTTTAATATTTTTTAAAATATATTTTTTTATTAAATTATTATTTTTGTGCATATACCAATGTCCCCCCCTTCCGTACATACCCTCCCTCCCCAGAGTTTGTGTCTATTGGTTGTACTTATATGCATGTATACAAGTCCTTTGGTTGATCTATTATCTCCCGCAGATCTCCCCAACCTCCCCTCTGTAATTTGACAGTCTGCTTGTTGCTTTACTGTCTTTATATCTATCTTTTGGTTCATCAGTTATAATGTTCTTTATTATCCATAATTGAGTGAGTTCATGTGGTGTTTCTCTTTCATTGACTGGTTTATTTCACTCAGCATGATGTTCTTCAATTCCATCTAGGTTGCTGCAAATGATGAGAATTCCTTCTTTTTTATGGCAGCATAGTATTCCATTGTGTAGATGTACCATAGTTTTTGGATCCAATCATCTACTGACGGGCACCTAGGCTGTTTCCAAATTCTAGCTATTGTAGATTGTGCTGCTATGAACATAGGGGCACATATATCCTTCGAAAGGAAATAGTGACCAATCAGAGGGGATATGAGGACACAGCCTTTATAAACCATGGAAACAGGAAGCCTTTTCACCGTCCCCCTCCTGGGAGTCCATTCTGCAGGACTTTCCCCACGTGGGAGTCTGTACCTGTTCTTCAATAAATCTCCACCTTTGCTATACTACCCTCTGTCCATGGATTCATTCTTTGATGTTGGCGGACAAAGAATCCGGGTTAAAATCCAAAAATTCTGCTTCGGTAGGAAGGCAATTACTTGTCAATCAAACCTGAGGACAGCTCATTGGCCAGAGTCGGCATGGCCTCTGCAAGCAGGGGAAGATTTGGAAGACTTAATCCCCCAAAAGGAGTTCACTCTTGAGCTCTTGCGCTCTCGTGTTTCAGGACTTTTCGGGCCCTTGTCACAGGCTGTGTGCTTTCTTGGCTCCCCTGCAGTCACCCATCTGGCTCAAGACCAAGTGGACCCCACACAATGGACCAATGGGCTGCAATTAGCCTAATGGTGTACTGGCCCAGCTCCACCAGGGAAAGGAAGCTCTGGACTCAGACTCTGCTTTGAGCTTTGCTGAATCCCCAGCTGCACATCTCCCAGGATTAGATGAAGGGAAATGGGACTGTAGAAACTGAGGGATGTTATTCCAAGCAAATAAAAACCACTCATCCTCCTGTGAAAGTCTCAAAATTCTTTTTCTGGAGATATCATAAGGACCCCACCCTCAGCACTCAGGGGGAAAGGGATAGCTCATTTTCACTGGTAATAGTTATACTTGGCATTTTCAATTTCCTCCAGTGGACTCTTTTGTTTGCAATAGTCCATAAAAAAGTATCCCTCTCTTTTGCATTTCTGCATTTCTTTGGTTTGCCATCAGAGGACATGTCCCAAAAGGAACTTTTTTGTAGTCCCTGAAGAATCCCACTAGCTAGAGAAAAATGTAGCTGTCTATTTAAGGTCAACAATAATCTATTGATGAACATTTAAATTGCTTCTTTCTTCTATTGTTTATGTTCCACTAGGCATATTTACACACTTCTCTGAACATTTCCCTAAGATAAATTCCAAGATGTAGAATTGTTATATTGAAGAAAATATGTTTTAATTTGACAGCTATTATTTTTAAATTAAAGAAGACATCCTAAAAATTTTGCAAAAATGTATGAAAATCATTCTTAGTAGTAATTTAACATTTTGTTGAACTTTCATTAAGTGATTTTTCTCTGAATATATTATAGCTTTTAACATAACTAAAATTATATAAATTTGCAAGAATACCTTCTGAAAGTAACAGCATATTTCCCACTCTGCAGACAGGCTTTAAGAATGGAACAAGTGTTAAAATCCAAGCTATATTTACTGAGCCCTGGGCTCCTCACAGGGCAATTAGCAGAGAGATGTGTACTGCACAGGCCTCTGGAAACTGGCTTCGATGGCAGTGAAGAAACAGGTGTTGCTGGTTCTGTGAGTCCATATGAAGTTGATTCTTCCTCTTTTTCACATGGTGTGGCAAGTGATCCTAGAATTTTAATATCCTAAAGCTATAGAAGTAATCTAATTATTTTACCATGTTGATTGGTACCAACATAGATATGTCTATCTAGTTACAAATAGGCCCAAACTACTTTTTTTTTTTTGGAGGGGGGTGCATGGGGAAACACTCAACCTTTTATCAGACACCATGCTCTGTGCCTTAAAAGCATTTTTATTAATCCACAAAAAGATGAAAGAGGAAGAAAGTTGCAGTATATGTTCTGTCATGCCTGTGGAAACCAAAGCATAGGATCCTATATAATAAAACCCTAATAGGCAAATTGACCGAATTGCACAATGACCAGTCATTATGATGCACACTGACCACCAGGGGTCAGACACTCAACACAGGAGTTACCCTCTGGTGGTCAGTGCACTCCCACAGCGGGAGCACTGCTCAGCCAGATCCGGGCTCATAGCTGCCAAGTGCAGCAGCAGTGACAGGAGCCTCTCCCACCAAACTGCAGGCGGGCGGTAAAGAGCAAGGGGTCCCAGACTGCAAGAGGGATGTCTGACTGCCAGCTTAGGCCTGATCTCTGGGGTAGATTGGGCCTAACTTGGCAGGCAGACATTCCCTGAGGGGTCCTGGACTGCAAGAGGGTGCAGGCCGGGCTGAGGCACGCCCCTCCCTGCAGAGCACGAATCTTGTGCATCCGGCCTCTAGTTATTAAATAACATGTCAAGGTCAACAAGCTAGTAAATGGAGGATTGAAGCTAGGTCTGAGGCACTCATGACCCCATTATTGTTCTTAAATCATCATGTTTTATTTATAGTAAGTTTACTGAACATCATAAATTCATGTCAATACAAGTATCACCACTTACAACATGAGTGAAGATTACATTTTTGCTGTTCTCATAATGTTTGTTTTAATATAATATTTGCCGAGTCTAAAGACGTAAGATTTGCTTTGGGGTGAATCCTATTCCTTACCCTTTGTACTACCAATCCTGGGGTGCACGAGTTGCTCTAATTTGCTATTTTCTCCCCACCCCTGACCCTAGTTTTTAAAAATAAAGAGACATTAGCTATCCCGCTCTTATTCACTCATTTATGTGGGTTTTTTCTAAGAGCCCAAAACATATCTCAACATTATTAATGATCTGAAAGTTATTTTTTTTTTCTTAAAGATTATGGGGAATCTGAGAACTACTAAGATTATATTTTTATTTTACAAAAGATACACCCATATCAAATATTTTCCATTATATAAATCTTAATATTTTGTAAAAATGTGTATATCCTCTCTGAGATATATGAGTTATTTTTCCTTTCTTAAATAGTTGAGAGAGTTGAAATCACAGAAGTATATTGTATGACATCCCCAAGGTTATTTAGCAAACCAGCTACAGAATTGCAGAGTTCAAACCAACTAAAATTAGAACATGAAATACCTTTTAAAAATAAAGCTGTGGAGGATTTAAAATAATCAGCAGAGTAGATTAAAACTACTTAATATATGATAAACAATCAAAAAGATTGTTTTATTTTTAATAAAAGGCAGATAGTCTAAAAGCATGCAACTGATCTTGGAAGACACTGAGTTTTCAATCATAAAATATCCTCAGATAAATCAATTTTACACAGGGGATTAAATCCATTCAGTCCTGCTCAAGGTTATGGAGCATACGTAATAGAGAAAGGCTTTTAGAAATCTACTAGAGTAAGCCATTTTGATCTTTTTATCTTGATTGCTCTTTATCTCCCAATAGTTTACTTCTCAGTATTAGTGTTGGGTTAAAAAAAGTTTGTCAGTTTTTACATTGTGCTTGTCTACAGGTTGTAAGGATGATATCTGTAATATTCATTCCAAAGTGCATTGTATATGCTCTTTGTTTAAATGGTTAGTTCCAGAAATATTTAAGACACTTTCTCTACCTAAAATAAACATTTTGAAGGTCCATTAAAGAATAAGAGAGATGATGAGTGGTGTGTTTTGTGTTAAGCATGACTGTGGCTCAAAAAATGGAATCTTTACTATGTTGTAAAAATAGTCTCAAGTCCTCTTCATTAAAACAAATAATTTGGTTGCCTGAAAGTCTAGGATACCCCTATCATCCAGACAAAATCCAAAGACTGAGATATGTGTGGCATTTGTTATTTGAATTCCAACACCTTTCCATGCTGGTTATAGAGTGATAACCAGCAGATACATTGTGAAATGCAAAGCTTAAAATAAATTCGGGTCATAAGTTGAAATATTTACAAGTTGATATAATATTGATGAATTCTTACTGAAATTTTTATGAAATTTATTTAGTGCAGAAGAAAAATTAATCTTACTCTGAATACCTAACACATGTAACTGATTATCCTATAAAAACTTGATCCATTAATGTGA